CCTGGTGGGTGTGTGCCCCTCGTCAGGTGACGTCCCTCCTGGCCCGGCTGCTCGGCGTTTGTCCCGGGAAAGGACGCTGCGTCTGTGAGGGGCTCCGCCTGGGCCCCGGTGTCCGTCTGATTCTGCTGAGCCGTGGACGGACTCCCAGGACCGGTCCCCTCGGGGTCCAGCCGACCGGCCGTCCTGCAGCGAGCGCCTGGTCAGCAGCGACCCCTCCCCGTGCTGCCGGCTGTGCTGGCGCTTCTGCCGTGTCTGCGTCTGTGTTCATGACACCGGTTCCCAGCTGCCTGGCGATTCCTTCCTCTGGTCTGGTTTCCACGGCGACGGGAGCAAACAGCCGGCAGCAGCGGCTGCACTTCCCACCGTCGCTCAGACCCTGTGCCCGTGGCTGACAGGAGCCGTGATGGGGGGGGGGGGGGGGGCACCTTCACCGACCTGGACAGAGACCTGAGCGGCGAGGAGCCCGCGTGGGGAGGGTCCCTCCTGTTCACAGCTGCCGGCTGTGGCGGTGACGCTGCCGTGGAGCTTGTGTGTGTGACACGTCACGCCGTGTCCGAGCGTCCCTGGAGCGTGTTCTGTAAGGAGGGTAGCCCGTCCCTGGAGTGTGTTCTGTAAGCAGGGTACCCCGTCCCTGGAGCGTGTTCTGTAAGGAGGGTCCCCCGTCCCTGGAGTGTGTTCTGTAAGGAGGTACCCCGTCCCTGGAGCGTGTTCTGTAAGGAGGGTAGCCCGTCCCTGGAGCGTGTTCTGTAAGGAGGGTCCCGCTTCCCAGGAGCGTGTTCTGTAAGCAGGGTCCCGCGTCCCCGGGTGACCGCCCGTGTGATCCTGTGGTCACCCCACAGGGCTGCACCCTGTCACACTGTCAGGTGTGGGCGAGTCCTGCGCGGCTCCGGCAGGCGTGTCCTGCTCGGGGTCTGCATGCGCCTGGGCGCTGGCTGGCTGCCCGTCTCGGGAGGGACAGCGTTTGTGAAACTCGCCGAGTTTGCGAGGCGAGAGCTGCACCTCCTCCTGCCTATACAGGTGCCTGAGGGCCGTGGTCACGGTCACGGTTAACGAGGGTCACCTCCCCCCCCACCCCCGACTCCCTGGCCGCAGAGGGATGGCGTCCCTGCCCTCCACCTCCCCGGCCACTCCTCCTCCTCACTCGCTCCTGACGATCCCGGGGGAGCCCGCTGTGCGTTTTCTTTCCTCCGTGGTCTTTCTGTCCTGCAGGCGTCCTGGGACAGTCGGTGGCTAGACACCAGCTTAGCGTGTACAGTTATATGAGGCACACGTGTGTCCCGGGACACTGCCAGCTGCTTTAGCGTGTACAGTTATATGAGGCACACGTGTGTCCCGGGACACTGCCAGCTGCTTTAGTGTGTACAGTTATATGAGGCACATGTGTGTCCCGGGACACTGCCAGCCCACTTTAGCGTGTACAGTTATATGAGGCACACGTGTGTCCTGGGACACTGCCAGCTGCTTTAGTGTGTACAGTTATATGAGGCACACGTGTGTCCTGGGACACTGCCAGCCCACTTTAGCGTGTACAGTTACACGAGGTGCCTGCGTGTCTGTGTCTGTTCCCAAAGCTGCAGGGCCCGTCGCTGAGAGCGGGCCGCCCCTCCCCCCGCGACACCCCTGTGGCTGGTCTGAGCCCCAGCGTCTCCGTTGCTCATGGGCCGTCCTGCACCTCGTGGGGGCGGCCTCCTCCCGGCGCTCACCTGTGAGGAGCGGGGTGGTTTCGAGTTGTGTGTGTCTGACGTGTTCCGGGGGCAGGTCCCGGGAGACGTGTGTCCGACGCGCTTCTCCCGGCCCGTGGCCCGCCTTCCCTTCCCTTCCCTTCCCTTCCCTTCCCTTCCCTTCCCTTCCCTTCCCTCCCCTCCCCTCCCCTCCCCTTCCCCTTCCCTTCCCTGGTTGGGATCGCAGACGTCTTTCATGTTGATGGAGCTGTGTGTCCGTCCACCCTCTCTTGGGTGATGCATGCGTGTCCCGTGTGGGACCTGCACACCAGGCCCCTACGCCCCTCGGCTGCGTCTCGGGGTTCATACGTGTGTCCCGCGTGGGACCTGCACCCAGGCCCCTGCGCCCCTCGGCTGCATCTTGGGGTTCATACGTGTGTCCCGTGAGGGACCTGCACCCAGGCCCCTGCGCCCCTCGGCTGCGTCTCGGGGTTCATACGTGTGTCCCGCGTGGGACGTGCACACCAGGCCCCTACGCCCCTCGGCTGCGTCTCGGGGTTCATGTGTGTGTCCCGTGTGGGACCTGCTGTGTGTCCCCGGAGGTGGGAGTCCCGGTTGCCGAGGGCTGTGCTTCACGTGGGGGGTTGGTCTGCAGATGGGGGTGGGGGGCCCCCTGCATGTTTGCGTGTGGACCTCACGTCTGGAGAAGCGGGTGTGGTGTCCACCCCCCACCCCCCCACCCCCGCGTTGCCTGGGCGGCTTCACATACCTCCTGACCACGTGTGTGGGGCCGT